CGATATACCCGGAAATGATAAGGAAGAATCTCGAAGGATCAACTCAAATCAGGAAGTCTTCCAAAAAACTCCGAAGAATAAGAAAATTATCCTAATCCGCGATATTCTAGCCGACTTCAAGATAAATTTTTTTTAAAATTATTATATTGATCATATTCTTTTCATTTATGATTAAAGAAATAAAAAACTAGCAACTCCTGATTTTGATTTATAGCCGTGTTTTAGATATTCTTCGTGGACTATTCATCAAGTTTTGGTTTTCTTTAGACTATGCCAAATTCTACACTGACATCATAAGCAATAAATGTTTCACCCGGAAAAACCGAAACTAATTGATAATGCAATAAATGTTATGGTGAACTTGTCTTCGTTGGAGCTTAAACCATTCACGCAGGCACATAAATATGAGTGTTAGTTGAATCAAAAGGTTTAGCAAATGAAGAAAAAAGAGATGGCAAAGAATTTAGGAATTTTCTTGGTTCTAGTGGTTCTTTTGGTGCCATGCTCCATCAACTATGCTCTTGCTTCTGCACAACCACAAGAGTCACTCCCACAAATCGGTTAGAGCTGGTTCTAATAATATTTATCCAAATTTTTTTAATTCGTATTTTTCAATAATTTATACATACGTTATTTAATTAAAAGTAGTTTAATCTTGAAATATCCAAAATATAAATTCCAGAAAAATGTTTAAAAAAAAAAACCAGGGTGCTGAATCTAATTTGTGGCTAAGCTTTGGTTTGATTGTTGTTAGTTTGGATATATATAAGATAATAAAACCAAATTGATTCTTTTTTTCCTTTCAGTTTAGTCTTTAGAATTCGGTTTGTTTTAGCTAAACCAGATTAACACCTTTTATTTGACTAGATATATAATAAGTTTTAGGTTGTTATGCTAATTTCAATATATATATATATATATTATAAAGACATAATTCTTAACTTTTTATGATTGAAAATCAGAATGGAGAAGAATGATGATCACGGTACGATCATCAACAAGCCAACGAGCTAGGAAAAGAGACATACCTCCCTCGCCTTCTCCATCATCACCACCTTCGTTGTTGCCGCCCGCACCGGGGCTTTGAGGGACCACATTTCTTGAAAACGAATGGATTATGTTGTTATTTTTGGAATCATTATATTGATAAGCAATGCATACAATTTACTTAAATATTGATTTTCTTCATACATGTGATGAATTGTTTATTGGACAAATTAAAAGATAATAATTGGCAAAGTTGGTTGGACAATCAATTTTAACTATTTAGATTGATCCTTCCATCTTATAAAGTGTGTTATAAATATGTACAGTCATTTAGATTCAAAAATTGATTTAACATGAAACTTAGGTAGAAAAGGTTCTAATTTGGCTTAAATCGCAAACAAATTCAAACTGGATCGATCCAGCACAAATGGGATCGGATCCATCAACTTTACACTTGAATATGTCCATGTATCGGTTTTTCATAGGAGTGGCTTTCTAAAAATGAACTACTTAGTGTCAGTTTAACTTGTGTCTTTTAATATTATCGAGTGATAATAAGATTGGTCATCAGAAAATCTAATGCTTTCGAGAAAACAAGAAGAATAGAGTTCTTCCATATGCAACAAAATTTCTAGACTTGCCGTTTATTTTGTTAATTATAGACTTGCCAATTCATCAAAAGTATAAAAAATAAAAAATAGTGTAAAATCGCCATTAGTTAACTCAAATGCAGATCAAATACATACAAAATTATATAAACCAAAAAAAAATAAAAATAATTACTTGTAGCACTAGTGCTCAATTAGTTTGAATAGCAGATGATTTTGAATTCTAAAAGCCGTGTGTTTAAATTTTCGTCGTTGAAATTTCATCAATATTTGGTCGTATATCCCATAATTTTCACCTCGGTTTGGACTTTGTCAAAATCTAAAATAATTCAGTCCATAACCAGCCGTGGGGTTTACTTCGAAATGCAATAAATGTTTTGTTTCAGTCTTTACAGTACACCAGCCACTAGTCTTTATTTGCCATTTGCGGAAGGATATTAATAAGAATACTGAATCAAGAGATTTTGCAAATTAAGAAAGAGAGATGGCAAAAATGATTGTGTTCTTGCTTCTATTGGTTCTTTTGGCCGCGCCACTACAAGAAAAACTGTCTAAAGCCACAAACTTTTTTGTATCTACGTCTCAAATTTTGTGGCTATTTTGTCTATACTCTATAGCATCGGAAAGCCACAAAAAGGACTTGTGTCTATAGGGTTGTAGCTTTTTTGGTCCCGTGGCTATCCATGGAATAGTTGCCACAAACTAGCCACAATCAAATTTGTGGCTAATAGCCACGAACTTACCACAATCAAATTTGTGTCTATTATAGCCACGAAATATCACAAACTTAGTTGTGTCTGATAACCATAAATTGCTATAAATAGTTATACAAAAAATTTGTATCTATAGCTTTGTAGCTATTAGTTATGGTGGTTTTCTGTGGCTATTCTAAAATAAAAAAAAAATAAAAAAAAAATATATATTTTAAATTAATTAATTAATTAAAAGTGAAGTTTTCTTATTAAATAATTAATTAAATAAAATACAGCTGTTGTTTCGTCCTCTCTTGTTCGGCGGAGAGATTGTCGGTGACAAGTTCGTTAGGCAACGAGACGGCGAATAAGAAAGTGAGGGAGATCGGAAAACGTGGCGGCGGAGAGAACTTGCGCCTCCTCTCTTCCTTTCTTCTTTCATGGTTTCCTTTGCTTCTCCCTCTCCCCTTTCTCTGTTTCTTCTCTTTTCCCTTTGAGGTTCTCCCCCTCGTCGCTTCTTCAGAAAACCGGAGATTACATCATGAAATCGCGTTCGGAGACAGATCTGAGAGAGAAATCGTACCAGTTAGAGCAAAAAAAAAAACAAAAAGAAATTCAAATTTCTCCAAAAATTATGTAAATCTAACCTTGAAAACGAAAAGAACTATGTTGAAACAAGATGAATTCGTTGTTCCATCCTCTCATGTTCCACGATTTCACGATTTTTAGATTAGCTGATGACGGCAACGACGACGCCGATACGTCTTTGCCTCTTCCCCTCATGATTCCTCGTATCATGTTCGTCTCCTCTTTCTCACAATCGTTTTATTCTATTGGTACCTTGCTCCGTTGGATTTGGATTTGTTATAGAGATTGATTTTATTTTTAGAGTGAACGACGAAGAGAAGAACGAAGGAGAAAGAGAAGAACGAAGATAAGGAGGAGAAGTTTTGACCACACAAAAAGAAAAGAAGGAGAAGATTTAATCCGTTAGATTTAAAGTTATCAATGGTGGAGGATAAGCCAAAGACCAATCCTTGTCACTATGGAATAGCCAATGAGAAACCTTCATTAGTTTGTTTTTTTTGTAAATATTGGTTTCATAGTTTTTGATTTAGTTTTGAAGTATAATCGTATAAAAGTTAAAGGTTTAGAGTTTATAATATAGGGTTTGGAATTTTAATTTTTAGCAATTTGGAATTGCTCTTTTAATTTTGAATATATATAATAATTGAATTTTTGGTTTAGAGATTTAAATTTATAAGTAAACATTTTTGTTCAAAAATTATTTTATATAAAGTAAATATGTAAATAGTTTTAAATATTAGTTTTATGTATATATAATGGTTATGTTTTTGGTTTTATGGTTCATGATTTAATTTCTATGAATTAAGAATTTAAATTCTAAGATTTAGAGTTTATGGTTTAGGGTTTGGAGTTAGGTTAAGGGTTTGGGGTATAAGGTATAGGGTTAAGATTTAAGGTTTAGAGTTTTGAAAATAATATTTTTAATAAGTATTAGATCTTGGTTTTAGGGTACATTAGAAATTATTTTTGTGAATTTAGGGTTCTAAGGCTTGTGTTTGGGGTTTAGTGTTTTGTATAGATGTATAGCCACAAATAAATATATGGTAAATTCGTAGCTATCTCATTAAAAATTATTAAATTAATTAGCCACAACAAAATTTGCGGATATTTGTAGCTATTAAGCTACGACTAAGCCACAAATCTAATTCGTGGCTATAATAGTCACGATTTAGCTATGAAATTTTTTTGTGGCTACTTAGCCACAAAATTGCTACAACATAGCTACTAAATGGCCACGACTTAGTTTTGTGTCTGATTTGTGGCTAATATATGCTAGCTACAATTTTTCGTCTATCGACACTACTCTTGCTTCTCCACAAGAATTACTCCAATTAACAGGTTAGTGCTTGAAATATACCCTAATTATTTTCATAAATTCAGCAGTAAATAGAGAATACCACTACAATTCGTAAATATTTTTTCTACTTTTAATAACTAGTTTTCCAAATTCTAGTTTTTGACTAATTCATATATAAAAGTACTAATAGTTTGAGACTTTATTTTGGCTCGGTTTAAAGTTTGATTTGTTTATTTGAACAAAAAAAATCGATATTTTCTTTAGTTTAGTTTGAGTATGGGTTTGGTTTTGTTAAAACAGAATAAGGACCTCTTTATTCACTTTAGGCTAATTTTAATAAATATTTAATTTATCACACTATGTCGATCGGATGATAAACGAGATGGTACATATATTTCGCCGTCTTCATCTCCACTCTCATCCCCTTCGGATTCAACAGAATATCGACAAGCTGGTATCAATATTCCGCCATCATTATCTCCATTTAGGCGACGATCTTCGCGGTCATCGCTGTTGTCACCAGCACCATCACCGTGCTTTGAAAACAACATTTCTTGAAAACACACAAGTATGTATAAGACTATGTTTTTTTTTTTTACAATAAGATTATGTTGCTATCTTTGATAAGCTATAAATAGTAAAATATTAAATTTAATTTAATATATATGATGAAGCTAGCATACACTAAATATAGATTTTAACTATATACATATATTTGTAATAACAAATTTACAATAAAACCGATGATTGATCAGTTTTTGATTAATAATACATTCACATTGAGTAGAAAATAGCATCGGTATGTAAAAAAAGAGCCATTACACAACAAAGCTTACTTGGGATGTGTTAAATGAGCGTAAATCACCAGGAGGGTGAAAAACCTCAAACAATCATATAGATGATTTTCTTAATTGTATTGTGTTAAAAATTTATTGGGCTTGGGATGTCGGCTGCTTGTAAACTTTCTTTCAATTTTTTTCCTCAATAAAATCACTGAAAACTAAAATACAAAGAAAAATCACTAGAAACCAAGAGAGTCAAAGATTAAAAATGATTGGCAGAGATTTCATTTGTTTTATTTTTGGCTTTTTATGTGTCTTCATAGCTAAATGGAATTTTACAGTATAACTGGAAAGAACAAATTGTGAGAGAGGAGAGAGAGAGATGGGAATGAGTGGTTCTTCAGGTTTAGGTCATGTGCTCATGCTTCTTCTTCTTCTTAGCATCCTCTTTCACCATACCGAATCTGCTTTGCCCTCTGATCATGAACAACTCTCAGTAACTGGTTAGTGTTTCAACACACATACATACATATACACATGCATATGTTATATAAATAAGTAATTTCTATGTTTTAATTAATTGTTTGATATATATATAATCTACATATTTGAATTTGAAAAAACTATACATTCATGAGGCTAAAGTAAATTGACAGAGTTCATGAAATATTCTAAATTGCAGAAATCAGGTCTCATGAAATGACATAGACTTGTTCAATTATACATACATATTGGTTTTGTCGATATTATTTCATCTTATATAGTTTGATCATTATCTTATACCAATATAGATATATATATATATATATATATATATATATCTATATATATATATATTTTTTTTTGACAGATCTTATACTAATATATTAAACACTTTTTACTAGAGAATTTTTTTTTTTTATTACTGCTAAGTAACTCATATATAGTTTTGAATAGATTTAATAATAAAATATATTAATATCCACGAGTTTATATCTGGCCATTTGAGATTTGAGTCAATATGTAGTAGTTTTTTTTGTCAACAATTAGTTAAAGGTTAACTCTAGCTAATCTAGATTTTGATATAGAAATTTCAGTTAATAAAGCATTTACTCCATCTGTTCGTAACACTACAAGAAAACATAGCAATTTCCGACGAACATTTCCGACGAAATTTTTAGTCGGAATTATTCCGACGGATTTCCGGGGAATTTCCGACAAACTTCCAAGAAAATAATATTTCGTCAGAAATTCGTCGGAAACATAAAAACTTTTCCGACGATTAAAAATTCGTCGGAATTTCGTCGGAAATATTTGTCGGAAACCATGGAAAATTCCGACAATCCAATGTCATCGGAAACTGCTCGGAAAGTTTGTCGGAAATTCGTCGGAAATATTAAAGGTAACCACTTTAGAATTTCCGACGAATTTCCGACAAAATGTTAGTCGGAAAAGTTTTATATATATACTAGACAACGAAAGAATCATAGACACAAGAAAAAAGTTGAAAAAAAAAAAAACAGAAACACAAAAATATCTTCGAAAAAAAAATGTCTTCTCATAATATTTATAAAATTAGAGAGTGGATGTATAATCGATTAGATGATGAAACCGGAGCTATGAGGCAGGAGTACAAGGAAGGTTTAATGGAATTCATGCAGTTTGCATCTAATCAAGAAATGACGCGTATCGAAGGTATTATGGCATGTCCTTGTGTCAAATGTTGTAATGATCATTTTCTTGCAAAAGACATTGTTTGGAATCATTTATATTGGGGAGGTTTTACACCGGGATATTATATATGGTTTTCTCACGGGGAGGATTTTAGATCGGGTCCTAGTAGTAGTCGTGAAAGAAGAGATGAAAACGTTATAATTAGCGATGAGCATATTCACCAGGAAGAAGATAATGTAATTGGAAGTGGTAGTGGTGAATTTCATGATAACGTAGAAAATACTAATGTTGCGGAGGAACCCAACTTAGAAACACAGGGATTTTTCGATATGTTAGATGCTGCAAATCATCCGATATATGCAGGATGCAGAGAGGGTCATTCTCCTTTATCCGCCGCAACACGTATGATGAACATCAAAACAGACTACAATTTAAGTGAAGATTGTGTTGATGCGTGGGCTGATTTTATCCACGATTATCTACCGGAAGATAATTTATCGCCAGTTTCATACAACGCAATCCAAAAATTGGTATCTGGGCTAGGTTTACCATTCCAAATGATTGACGTGTGTAGAGAAAATTGTATGATTTTTTGGGGAGATAATGTAAATATGTCTCAATGTCGTTTCTGTGGTGCTGAAAGGTTTCAGGTTACTGGTGGGCGAAACAAAATACCATATAAGCGTATGTGGTATTTGCCCTTGGCTGATAGGTTGAAGAGGTTGTATCAGTCAGATCGGACAGCGGAGGGTATGCGATGGCACGCTGAACATGAGTTCACCGGGGAGATTTCACATCCATCGGATGCATCGGCCTGGAAACATTTTTGTTCTACATATCCAGTCTTTGCTAATGAACCAAGGAATGTCTATCTTGGTTTATGCACGGATGGATTCAATCCATTTGGAAAGTCAGGTAGAAAATATTCTTTGTGGCCAGTAATAGTCACCCCTTACAATCTCCCACCTTCCCTTTGCATGAAAAGAGAATTTCTTTTCTTAACCATTTTGATTCCTGGTCCAAACCACCCTCGTCGTTCACTTGATGTGTTCCTACAGCCGCTTATAGAAGAGTTAAAAATGTTATGGTACCAAGGGGTTTGGGTATATGATGTCTCCACAAAGACAAATTTTAACATGCGTGCTGTATTGATGTGGACTATTAGTGACTTTCCCGCATATGGCATGTTATCGGGTTGGACAACTCATGGAAGACTGTCGTGTCCATATTGTCAAGATAATACAGATGCCTTCCAACTAAGACATGGCCGGAAATCAAGTTGGTTTGATTGTCATCGTCGTTTTCTAAGACGAAATCATCCATATCGTCGTAGTAAGACGTTGTTCCGCAAGAACAAGAGTATCCGTGATCCACCGCCACCTGAGTATGATGGTGATTATATATTAAATCAATTTCGTGATTTTGATGTTGACTGTACATCATCGGTAGGCGGTAATGGCCATGTCCGAATTGATGGATATGGAGAACATCATAATTGGCATAAAAAAAGTATCTTCTGGGAGTTGCCGTACTGGACAAATCATCTACTCCGCCACTGTCTTGACGTTATGCATATTGAGAAGAATTTCTTTGACAATATAATTAACACCATTTTAAATGTCCCGGGTAAGACTAAAGATAATGTCAAATCCAGAATGGATTTACCCGATATTTGTGCGCGCGAGGATCTCCATTTGCTTGCAGACGGAGTAGGTCCTATTCCTATATGGAGATTAGATGCAAGCAAGAAGACCAAGTTTTTTCAGTGGATAATTGATGATGTTAAATTTCCTGATGGCTATGCATCAAATCTATCATATTGTGTTGATGATCACAGTGGTAGATTAGCTGGGATGAAAAGTCATGACTGTCACGTCTTCATGCAGCGTTTACTACCATTTGCGTTTACACAACTCCTACCAAATGTTGTCCATGAAGCAATTGCAGGTACAAACAACTTATCTTTCAATTATTTTAATATGTTATTATTCATGTATATATTCTTTTTTTGTTTACAGTTATTAATTAAATTGCAGGGATAGGTGCATTTTTTAGAGATTTGTGTTCAAGATCTCTAACAGTCGAAGGACTACATACACTTGAAGATAATATCCCGATTATCATTTGCAATTTGGAGAAATTATTTCCCCCATCATTCTTTGATGTCATGGAGCACTTGCCTATCCATCTACCTCGTGAAGCAGCACTAGGCGGTCCAGTTCAGTACCGGTGGATGTATCCTTTTGAGCGTTATATGTTCCATTTGAAGAAAAAAGTAAAAAATCTTAGCAAAGTTGAGGGATCAATAGTAGCTCAAAGCATAAACGAGGAGACTTCTCATTTTTCGGCCTACTATTTTGCTCCAAATGTCCAAACAAAAGCAAGAAAACCAGGTAGGTACGATGATGGGGGTGTGCGGCCTTTTTACCATACATCTGTCCCAGATATCTTTTCTCAAATCGGGAGACTGAGTGGGAAGAAAAGAGAAGTATGGTTTACAGATCAAGAATTTAATCACATTCATACTTACATACTCCGGAACTGTGACGATGTCATACCATTCGAGAAGTAAGAAACAAAATTCATACCTTAATAATACGCATATATTATTTGCAAAATAATTACTTATACAAAAAAACAAATGTCTGTAGGATCTTTGATGATCAAGTGTCTGGAGCGTATCCAAACATGACAGAGGCTCGAAAAGAGGAAATGAAGCAGACACAATATGCTAATTGGTTAAAATATTATGTAAGTTTTCACCGTTGATTTTACATATATTATGAACATGGTTACTATTTATTAAAATCGTACATTTGCTTGTATGTTTTGCAGATCAAATCAGCCGCAAGTAGGCAGGAACACTATCCAACATGGTTTGAAGAGTTGGTTGGAGGTCCTCTATCAAGGGCAATGGCATACCCGATGTATTGCACTCGAGGCTACGTTTTCATAAAACGTCCAGGGATTACTAACAGAAAAACAGTGAATTATGGGGTCGTTGTTCGTACAGATTCGATAGACTACTATGGTGAAATTACTGATATATTAGAGGTTGAATATCCGGGAGTCATAAATTTGAAATGTATACTCTTCAAGTGTGACTGGTATGATCCTAGAGTTGGAAGAGGTGTTAGACTTACAAAGTATGGTGTCACAGAGATCAACTCGACTAAGCAGTTAAGAAAGTACGATCCGTTTATACTTGCATCTCAGGCAGCACAGGTTTGCTACATACCATATCCACAAGTAGGTGTTCGACAATATCCATGGATTACGGCTCATCAAATAAATCCAAGAAGCAGAGTTGATGGGGTGAAAGAAAAGGAACCGCTACAACGAATTGCAGTAAACGAAATTACGCAAGTAGATCAATCTGTCGGTGACATTCCCCTCGTTGATATTGAGAACATAGAACTCGAAGAGATATGGGAAAATGCGGAAGACGAAGAGGATGGAGAAGAGTTTGAAGATCAAAATGATTCTGCTAGTTCAGATTATTCTTCCGATTCTCAGTAAATCAAATATATCGTCTTTAGTTTTATATATATATATTTTATAAAATCTGTTTAAATGCTTTTAAATTTATCATATTATATGCATTATAATTTATTTGTTAAAAAAATCTGTTTCTATTTTATAATAATTAAACCATTCTAATATTTTATTTTATTCATACTTTCATCGGAACTGTCGTATGAAACGTTTGAGATTAAATTTGTACCGCTTAAATATATCTTGATACAAAACAGGGTATATTTAATTAAAGAAATACTTGACACAAAATAATTAAAATTATTTAAATAAATATACCCTGTTTCCGAAGAATTTTCCGACGACATTATTTTCTCCATCGGAAAATCGTCGGAATTAGGCTATATTGAATTAATTTATTTTTTTTACTTTTCTTTCAGAAATACTGAAGCGGGAACATTTACGAGACTCGGGAGATTTAATGTCCAAATTCCGTCGGAGATTGGGTCTTAAATTTATTGCCGTTTACTGTTCCCGGGCGCCAAAGAAGTTAATGTAACCAATTTCCGACGAAATTTCCGACGAAATTTAAAAATTTGTCGGAATATTTGTCGGAAAATGTTACCGGGAGATTTAATTTCCGACGAATTTTCCGATAAATTTTGTAAATTTCGTCGGAAATTTCGTCGGAAATTGGATACATTAATTTCTCTAGCGCTCGAGATAAGTAAACAATGCAGCGGAAATTCGCGAGATTAATGTAACCAATTTCCGACGAAGTTTCCGACGACATTTAAAAATTTGTCGGAAATTTCGTCGGAAAATGTTACCGCGATATTTAATTTCCGACGAAATTTCCGACAAATTTATAAAATTCGTCGGAAATTTCGTCGGAAATTGGTTACATTAATTTCTCGCGAATCTCGTAAATGTAGAGGGAAAGTTACTTGGTTTGAAATTCCCGCTGCATTGTTTCCGACGAATTTCCGACAAATATGGTCGTCGGAAATTCTTATATATATACGACTCACAGATTTTTGCCTCTTACGCACTTATCACTCTTATAAATCTCTCTACAATATCTCTCTAAAATCTCTCTACAAAATCACTCTAAAATCTCTCTAAAATCTCTCTGTGATAAACAAACGTTAAGGTAAGATGTTTAGTTTTATTTTCTTCATAATTTTGTTTATAAAATTCAAAAGACTAATTATAAATTTTTTATTTGATTAAGGAGATGGATAATGGATCGTGGAGTGGATATATGTCGTATTGCAATGAACGTGGGTTTGCTCCGGATTTGAATCTTGGTTCCGAAACCCAACCACCGGAGGATTTTCCCATGGAGGACACGGAAGTTCCGGAGACGGAACCATTGGCGATGCCTACACGGAATGATGATGCAAATCCACTCGATTCTATGACGCTAGACCAATTACTCCGTGCTCCGGGTCGAGATAAATTGAAAAAGATCGACCCAAGCCGTATGCACGGAACAACTTGGTAAGAAATTGTATTATTTAATTTATAGTTTTACGTAGATAATCTTAATTAAATAATTTGGTAATTATAGGTATCGATTCGATAAAGGATTCACAAAGATTATCAAGAAAATCATGGAGAGCGATTTCCCCGATCCCGCTCCGAATATTACGTCGGTCTCCGGAGACACAAAGAAACGTTGGTTTAAGGCATTTGCGGTTAGTTTATTTAAATAAAATTTATGCTTTATTTACTTTGTTTATAATTGTAGCTAAAAAAATTAAATTTTAAAATTTTACAACACTAAAAATATATATATTTTAAATTGTTTAACATTGTAGCAAAAATTTAATTGGGATTATGGTCTTACGGGCGAAGTACAAGAAAAATTTGAGGAAATATGTGGGGTACGTTTATTGGATTATGTTTATGGATGGAAAAAGAAATGGCTTAACGGGAAAGAAAAGCCAAAATGGATGCGAGAAAACGTTTGGCAAGGGCTTATTGCATATTGGTTACAAGAGCAAAATAAGTCCCGTAGTGAAACTAATTCTCAAAATCGCAAGAGTGAACGCGGAGGCTATGGCATGGCTAAACATACTTGTGGATCAATGCCATATGTCCGGAAAAAGGAAAAAATGGTAAATAAAAATTTAAATTTTTTACATTTCAATTTGCATTATAATAAATTTTATTGTAAATTTTTAACTAATAAATATTTTAAATGCAAGCGTAATCCCGAAACCGGTGAGTATCCCGATATGGTGACATTCATGGAGGAGACTCACAAACGGAAATCGGACGGGACATTTGTTGATAAAAAAGCTGAGGCAATAGCTCGTCGATGTCGGGAGATGGAGAAAGAGAAACTCACACAATTGAGTCAACAATCAGACACGCCCGATGATTATCAACTCACCCAAGCAGAAAAAAACGATATTTTCCGATCGGTAAGTAATAGTAATTAAAATATTATAATTTAGATAATATGTTTTATTTCCTAACAACATTTTCATTATAATAGCAAGTTGAAGTTAAAAAAGGACGTAGATTTGGATACGGTTCCATTCCGTATGACGAAGACATGGGCGGAAGTTCGTCGTATTCACATGCACACGTGAATTGTCAAGCAAACGCAGCCGAAATCATCGAGTTGAAGACTCAATTAAAAGATTGTAAGTTTTGGATGGATACGATGGCCCGTCTTCATCCCGACATCGTTCCGCCTTCTCGCCAAGATCAACCCGGAAATCAAAATGAAACAAATAACGTTGACACTCTATTTGATAATATATAATATTTGCGTTTGTAATAATTTTTAGTTGTTTAAGAACTTATTAATGTTTAATTATGTTTTTTATATTATGTGGTGAATTTTATTTTTTTTAATTATGTTTTTATATAATATTTGTGTTTGTTTTATTGAATTATTACAATTAAATTAAATTAATATTATTTAATTTAATTAATTATATTAATTAACAATAAAATATAAATATATTTTTTTTAATAAAATATAATATTTCGTCGGAAATTCATCGGAAAATAATAAAAAAATACGATTTGTCGGAAATTCGTCGGAAACTATTAAATATATTATTATATTATATTTTGTCGGAAATTCGTCGGAAATATCCATTCGTCGGAAATTCGTCGGAACGTTCCGACGAACTTCCGACGATTTGTGGTCGGAAAATCGTCGGAATCGTACTCGATCTTGCGGCGTCGTTTGTCGGAATCTCCTCGGAATGGCGTCGGAATATGCCGTCGGGATATCGTCGGCAATTTTCCGTCGCTATTCCGACGGACATTTCCGACACCTTTCCGACGGGCTTTCGACGAATATTTCCGACGATTTTCCGACAAATATTTCCGACGAATTTTCCGACAAATCATCTCGACAGAAATTTCCGACGAATTTCCGACGAATATTGTTTTCCGACCAGAGAATTCCGACAAACTTGGTGTAGTCGGAAATTCGTCGGAAACATCCATTTCCGACGAATTTCCGACTATTTGGTTTGTCGGAATTTGCTATGTTTTCTTGTAGTGTAAGTAAGCCAAGTTTTAGAAGAAAAGATAATGGTTTAAAAAAAGAAAAACTTTAATGCATTTTTATTGAATTCTTATTTGTTTGGAGTTATAAAAAATTATTATTCACAAAATGATGCATTTATATTTATATTATTTTAATTTGTTTTCTTGGTATGTGTAGAAAAAAAATAAAACTTGAATTAATTAAGAAAAAATGTAGTATTTTATTGATACTATTTCCAGAACCATTAAAGTAGTAGGGCACTTAAGATGCATATAATTACAAGTTTACAAAAATCTGGTCTATTATGGTGACTTTAATAGTTTAATTTGAATCCTTATGCATTAACCAGTTTGCTTATGATTCTATCTACATATATAAAGAATAGTTCGACAAAAAGAGAAAGAATAAATATCTTTAAAAATAAAATGAAGGGAGGAGAATGATGGCGAATTATAAGCCCAATGCTGCAGTAGAAACACCACCATCAAGAAGTAGACGAGGTGGTGGTGGTCAGAATACGGTAATACATTACTTTAAAAATCAATCAATAATTGATCACCTCCTTAATTAAAAAATAAATTATCCACTTCGCTTCCGATATTTTATATCTGTCTATTGTATATATTCGTTATATGTAAATATTAATTAATGAATAGATATAATCTTATAGGGAGGAGATTGATAAGTACATATGTATAAGACAAATAGAGATATATACAAGACCTTCAAGCAGTGGACTGTGGACAGATTCATCAACATTACTCTCCTTAGCTTTGGCCAGTATACAAACTTGTATAACAAATAAATCACCAAAAATAATATAAATGTGAATGTATAATTTGCACTTTATGTGATTCCAAGTATGGATTTTTAAATTTTCAAAATATGTGAACAAATGTTTGTGTATAATACTCCCTCAGTTTCAGTTTAGTTGTCGTTTTAGGATTTAAATTTTGTTTTATAATAGTTGTCGTTTTATGTTTTCAATGCAAATATTTGGTGAAAATTCCAGTTTTATCCCTACTGTTTTAATGTTTTGGCCAATGAAATTTTTTATAAAATATATTAATAAAGGGTAAAACAGAAAATTTAATGCTTTTATTAATTTGTGTGAAAAAACCTTAAACGACAACTAAAACGAAACGGAGGGAGTATAGTGTTCTCCTTAGTTTTATTTTTACAAAATAGAGTTGATTAAAACTTTATTATTATAAGGTCGTTTTCGTAAAAAAAATAAAAATTTATGTTATAGATGTTTTCTTACATAAATTTATTTCTTTGTCCGGCGCAAACAGTACCATCAAAAAGGGCTAGTAAAGGACCTAACGAAGCCTAACTTAAGCACCATGGAAACATTGTACTTTATGCCAATTATGTGAGTCATCCTTGCCAGCTTTTCAAATTCTAATTTGGCAACATTACCTCCTAGCCGTACAACCAATTTCTTTAAATTTGTTGTATTCAGTAGTAGAAACCGTATGAATGAACACATGAGTTCGGGCTTTGCATCTTTACCCTCCAAGAAATAGACTCCTCTTTCTTGTTCCCACCTTTGATCAAAGTACAAACCTTGTGAAGACAAGTTAGTCTCAAAAGGATTTCTTATGTTTTGGGCATGTAGAACGAAAACATGATCAACATCTCACTCTAATAGCTTCACCAGATCAACTGTGAGCTGCTTTAGTGCAGGTGAATTTTGTAAAAGCCTTCTTATTCCGAGAAGAACGGATCGAAGAATCATAGTTTCAAGTGTTAAATTTTCCACCTTGAATGTTGGAAAAGGAACATCATGGACTTGAGCAAGAGAAAACACCTCAAAGAAAGTAGATCCAAAGTTAAGCTTCTTTACGTTCTACAACTTTAGCATTATGTCTGGAAGAAAATCATACACCTTCTTCAACCATCCACTAGGGCAACAGTCTAGTTTTGCTTCCTTTAGAGATGATATCCACTAAAACAGATGGTGAAACAAAAGACAACCTCAAATAGCATATATCTGATGCTTCAATCTTCACCAGCTCAAAACCAACATAATAAATATAAGGGTCCATACCTATGTCCAAGCTCATGACACTTGGTGCATTGTGGAGGTCAAAATACATGAGCTACTCTTTACACTGACATAATGTCAAACTTCTCAGAAGTGGACAACCGATGAGAATATTAGCATGTGTTTCTTGGCGAATATACCAACATTTTAAGGACAAGTTTTTTAGTGACTTCCACGTCACATACTTTGGGATCAGTTTCATATCGGGATGTTGCACGATGAGTTGCTTTAGCCAGTCAATGTTAAAAAACTCATCCATGATGAAACGATAGTCGTGATCACTACCGTTAAATCTAATAGATATGTTATCCGGTTTGAGTTCTATGACGAAAGAGATCCAATCATCTATATCGTTGTTCCGTCTTTGCACCTTATTGACGCGTAGATGAAAAGTAGATATTTAGTGGTTGTCAAACGATATATGTTAACCGTTATTGGGACCGCCGATCTTTCATAATCACTGTAAATTATCTACACAGTGGGTTTCCTTTTCACTCATTCTTCCATCTTTTATACAAAACAGAAGTGCATAGGACGAATTTGGTAGGCAAAAACGAAATTATCCTTTGGAGTAACTCGTTCAGTAGCTTGTTGATCGACATAGCCATCCATTCTAACAAGACAAATATTGAACCTCTCGTCTCTGCTTGTATTACAGTGTTACACATGATCTTATATCTTATATACTGTATTAAACGGATACATGCTAAAAGAAAATACATAAAAATAAGAAAAAGAAATATCTTTGTTAAAAAAAAGGAAAAACTAACGACAAAATATTTGTATACAAAAAGGATAGAGCGGTAATCAATTCAACACCCACGGCCCAACGCAATAACCCAGTTCTCTCTCTCTTTTTTTATATAGCCCAATACTGCTTTGCTTTGTTTTTCGGTTTGCTAATAATATTTAAACCTTTTGGATTTTTATATTTCTTCACAATTTTTTTTGAACTTCTTAAAGCTTTATTAGTTTCCACTGTTGTTATTATTGTTTACAAAAGACCATAAATAAAAAGGACATGAATGATACATACACCATGTTTTTTTTTTTGTTTTTTGTTTTTTAAATAAAATATATATATTAATTCAACCCGAATTGGGCTTGGGTTATTGGCCCATACAGATTCACGATTCTTAGTTTTTGTATATATGGTTTTGGATCAGGATTTCTGGGCTAGGAATGTGGGCTTAATTGTATTTAAATAATCCAATTTCTATGAAAATAATATTTTAACCAAAAGAAAATAAAAAGAAAGATCACGGAAAAGCAAGAGGGTCAATTATTGAACATGAATGGTAGAGAAAATTTTCATTTGTTTTTACATTTTTTGTGGGTGGGGTTTTATTTGTCTGGACGTCTTATAATAATATTCACTCTTTTACGAAAGAGAAAGAGAGATGGATACTCATGCTTCTTCAAAATTGGGTCATGTACTCATGCTTCTTCTTCTTCTTAGCTTCCTCTTGCACCATACCAAATCTACTTTGCCTTCTGATCATGAAGAACTCTCAATAACTGGTTAGTCTTTCAATAGGTACACATACACATGTATATTTTTTCCATGTGATAATTCATTTACATTTTTTACTCTATGTATTAATATAAACACATATATAGATTCATATTCTAACAAAAGTTAATCTATGGAGTTCAGGAAATATATTAATCACATAAAGCAATTTTCAATAAATACATACACTTTTTTTGCTATGTGCATAATTGGTTTTATTGATAGTATTCATCTTGGATCATATCTTTTATATTCAGTACTATTAATCTATAAAGATAAGAAAAGAGTTTGAATAACGATTTGTTTATGCAATATTTTAGTATTTGAAAGCTTAGCTTGTATTATTCTTTTGGATTTTACTTTCCAGTTTCAAACTCACTGTAATTCGTAAGCAAGTTACCGTTAAATTTTATCTCTATCTCTTCTAATATAATATATATATACTTACAAAGAATATATATCTTTAAAAAATCAAATGAAGGGAGGAGAATTATGGCGTATTACAAGCACGATGGTGCCATAGGAACACCACCATCAAGAAGTGGACGAGGTGGTGGTCACGGTATGGTACTCATATCCATATATTTTCTTTTATTTTTTTGTTAATTAAAGCACTTATATTCATACCAGTAAGATAGATTAATTTATAACAAGAAAACATCCACTTTTTATTATTATTACAAATTTCTTCTCTTTTAGACTTAATTGTACACTTTACTTCTCGATATTTTATATTTTCTTATATTGTACATTTTCATTATGTAAATATTAATGCACACAATATTTTGTAGGGAAGAGAATGATGCCCTACTACAACCCAAATGCTCCCACACAAACACCAACATTGAGAAGTAGACGAGGTGGTGGTGGTCACAACGATACTCATAATTCATAACGCCAAAAACACAAATCAATAATTTATCACGATACTTAAAATCAAAATTATCCACTTTGCTTCCGATAAATAAATATTAATGAATGTATCTTATCTTGTAGGGAGGAAACTGATGGGTATATATAGGCCAAATGGAGACATATATACAGGACCATCAAACAGTGGACATGGTGGTGGTCACATTCATCAACATTCCTCTCCTTAGTTTTGGGGCAGTTTCCAAGTTTGGAAACTCATCTAATACCAAAAATAATAGAGATGTGAATGTAATTTGTGTTTTATGTGATTCCAAGAACGGAGTGGATATGGTGGTGGTCACATTCATCAACATTCCGATCTCCTTAGTTTTACAAAACTGGAAGAAATTATGGTTGTTTGTCAGTTTGTGTACAAGTAGAATTATGGTCAAGTCATTACGGGTGTGGTTTTTGTAAGTCGGTGAGAATCGACTGTTGAAGAATAATTAAACATGTGACTTATTTACATCTTCTCGTTAGCTGGCTACGTAAAACGATTCGATTCATAATTCTATTGTTCAGTTGTGTGTCTCTCTTCTATGAGCATGTGCAGTAGTGAATCTCTCACCCAAATTTCTTATGTAAAAAAATAATAATAAAATAATAAAAAATATTATTTAATTGTAAAAGTCTCTAAAAAATGTAGAGACTTGAGAGACTCTAACTACTTTTTTAAAAAAACTCTTACAATTAAATAATACTTTTTATTATTATTATTTTTTACATGAGAGATTTTTGTGAGAGACTTTCATTGCATGCACATGCTCTAACGGACTGATATAAGAGACTTTTTTTTCGCGAATGTTACGGAAAATCCCTTTTTTCGGGTGTTCATGTGAGTCATCCGGTGGCTACGTAGCATACATACCGCTATTAACCGATTCCTAATATCTAAAACATTTCTCCAACAATGATAATACTAATACATTCATATGTAAATTACGCTAAGTTTGTATTATATATAAAAAAAATATTGCTGAATAAATAAGTCACTGAAAAAGTCATGTTTTGCTGAGTTTGTCTTCGTTATACTGTGTCATTGTTGAAACTTTATCCATACGCGTTTGTTAATGTCCTTTTTTTTGACTAAATGAATAACCGAATAGCCGAGAAAAGTCACATTTTTTAAACGTTTTTTATTTCCCTTTTCTCCTGCTTTAAATGGGATTTCGTGGATTTAAAACCATTTGCATGGTCAGTATCGGATCAAGAGGATTTAGCAAAATTAACAACGAGAGAAAGAGAGATGGCAAAGAAGTTAGGACTTATGATTTTGCTTCTAGTGATTATGCTGGTCTCATGCTCTAAGTCTAACGACTGTGCTCTTGCGTCTCCACAAAAGTCACGTCCATCATCAGGTTAGTCGTGACACATATGCTAAGGTTTTTCATAAATGGAACATAAATATGCGAAGGTTTAGTCTTCCCAAGTTATAGAAACCAACTGGAGACAGTCAGGTGCATGCAATACGGTTTCAATTTTGTATTTGCAAACAAATATATTTAATATGATACTTTTTTCAGAAAGCTAAGATCTTAATCGATTTTTTCTTTTCTTGGTTTCAGTAAATTTTTTGGAAGATCGAACAAAAAAACTAGTTAGTTGTTTTCATCTTACTTTTGGGATGGTTTTAGTCAATAAACATGTTGAAACTGGTTAATTTTTATTTATTTCTTTGAATCATATGATAAGTGTTTATGCTAATTTTCACAAATATTTATTCTTACAATTTATGTTGTTTATAAGGAAACAATTAATCTTTATATAATAATTGCCTCTACAAACTCTTGTGAGAACACGATGCAAAATATTTTTGTTAGCTCATGAACTTATTTTAATGTCCTCTCTCTGATTTATTAAAGAATATATCTCGTGGATTTTATTAATTATGATAAAATAAATCATCTTTAGTTTTGGATCTGATTTATTAATTATGATAAATCAATTTACAAATTTTTCAAAATCATTACTTGTTAATGTATTCAATATGAAAATATGCGTAATCTTCCCACAAAGAATCATACTAGCTAGTAGCTATGTGTATTAACAAAAGTTTAACTTATTTAATTACACTTCAACTTTTATTTTCATACCAATGTTTTAACATTTAGCCACTTTTAGTTTTGTAAATAGTACGTATACGTCTTTTCAAAAACTTAATTCATGGAAAAAATAAACTAAATTTCAAGTTATTTTTATTGTTATTATAAATTATATAGAGTGGAGAAGGAAGTTGATACCAGTACGGTCATCAAGAAGTCCACGAAGTCCTTCGTATGCGCCACGAAATCCGCCACTACCGCCACCGCCACCGCCTTTGTCACCATCATCACCATCAAATTAATTGGTAAGCAAATAATAATTGCCATATTGATATTATCGTATAGACCGAATATAGATTTTAAAGTTTGTACATATATTTGATAACAACAAAATTAATCGCTCTTATTAAAACAGAATAAAAAATGAATCAATACATATTGAGAGATACACGTATGTTATATTTCTAAATAATACAGCAAAACTATAGTAAAAATGATTTGTTTTTCTTCATAAGATTAGAAGTATGTCATTGAATTGTATTGAAACTTCGAATAAGAAAACTATATATTTTCTTCTTCTTTTCTTTTGGATTAAACCATATTTCTTACTTCTCGATATATTTTATATTGTACATACTCATTAGTATGTATAAATATTAATGCGTAGATATTATTTAGTAAGGAGGAGGAGATTGATGAGTATATATCGGCCAACTCGAGACGATCAAGCAATTTACATGGCTGTGGTCACATTCATCAACATTCCTATCAGTTTTTGGCCAGTATACGAACTTGAATCTTATCTAGTAATTCACCAAAAATAAAATAGATTTGAATGTAATTTGTATTTTAAGAGATTCCAATTAAGGATTTTTGAAGTCTCAATATATGCATATCATATGTTTGTTTAATTTAGTGTTTTGGAAAAATAATTATCTTTAAAGTTTAAAAGTATTTTGTTTTCTTTTTTGAAAAAGATTAAAAGTATTTTCTTCACAATTTGTTATTCTTATAATGTCCTTGTTTATATATAAATCAAGCACGTTCAGAAGTGAGGACTAGTTACCTCATTTAAAACCATTTCTTAAATATTTGGTAATTCATCTTAAGGTAGTTTGTTTAACTCTTTTTTTTTTTGATATACCCTATCGGCTATCCGGTCGGCCCCGGTAGGAACGCACCGAGGTGCTACATAGTAGACTTGTCCACCGTGTTAACGGCTAGGCCCTTCGGGCTACCACTCTGCCTATCCCGAGTTTGGTGTACCTTCCGACTAAGTGCCAGGGGTAATCAGGCCGCCTGCATTTCTGACTACCATATAAACCAATTGGGCCAAAGCCCAACTAACAGACTTCCCACATAATATTGATAACAGCAGGAGGAGGAGTCGAATCCGGAGGGGAGGGACTTTCACCCAAACACCCCTCGCCCACCAACCACCCTCCCACCACCATGTGGACTAGTTTGTTTAACTCACCCACAATAAATACTTACAATAAATACTTCGCCTTACCTAACTTATTTTTGTCAACAAATATACTTCAACTAAAAAAATTTAGAAATCTAGATTATGTCTAAGATGTATATTGTCTAGCACTCTACTCTAGATTATCCGTTTATAAATTTTAAATGGCGGAAAATAACAAAAATTCGAGAAAAAGAAAAAAATCTTTGATTCTCAAAAACTCATCTAATTATGTTGAAAAACTAGCATGACCGCCGGTATACATGTTATTTTCAATAACCCAGAGCCATCAGTTGCAAACGCTATTGTCATCTGCTGCATGTTTCCAATTCTGAGTGTGATTGGAAAAGCCTTATACCTACATTTCCGGCTCTCGTGATAGATCCTTCTACGTCGTCTTGAAAATTTTACCGGTCTAAAGCTATAAAAAAGTATGTCTCCGATCCTTCATGATCTATTGACATAACATTGACAACTAATATAGTGAGGGTCAAAGAAAAGAAACGAATGTAATATGATCCACATCCAGTTCCTTGACCTGAACCGACTCCCATGATTATCCTTGCTCTCTCCCAATTTTAGAACCTCTTGTAGGTCTTTATCTAATTTTTTAATACTTTATCAAGTCGTGCTTTTCAAATATGCGAAGTGATCCATGAAAAAACTAAGATATTACGCTTCTAAGTATTCCTTCCGATACTAACAAGGGACAACCGGAATTATTTATTTTGTGTCTGGCTTAACTCGATTTTTTTTCAAGTTGCTAAATGTTGGTCCGAGTTCGATCTTAATAGTTTAGGTTGGGTCCTAGTCAGGTCAAAATATTTAAGCTGCTAAACATCGTTCCGATCGATTCTGATCTAATATGTTTAGGTTGGGTCCTATTTGTGGAGAAATATCTCACATTAGAAAAATAGAAAGGTCTTGAGTAATATATAAAAGACATGGACCTTTTCACTCATTGTCAATTAGTTTTGAGCCGGATGTATTGTACAATGTTTTTTAAAAAAAGAAAAGAAAAATTAGACAAGGTTTGGAAAGTTAAATCAATTGATGTAAGTTAAGAAAAAATCATCTATGTCGACTTAAGAATTAAGATGAATTGAGAAACGCGAATCTGTATTCTCAAATTTAATAGGGCTTTATCGTAAACATCAATTAGAATAAATAATATATTTACGTAGGTGTTAGAATTTTATCGTAGAATAAATATATATACGTGAACGGTGAATCAACGGTCAAACGTTTTTGTTTTTTAATATTTAGCCTTGATATACCTTTCATTCTTTCGAGAACATCGAATAAATTTAGAATGATATAAAAAATTATTAACCTCTGTCCAAAAATGACACACATAAACTAAAAATGGTCCAAATTTTTTCATTAAGAAAATATAATAATATATATAACTTTGTTAATATGACTGCGTTAAACTCTAATATGACGTAAAATTTTCCTTGCATCACCGATTTTCAAAATTAGGATGTAATCACAAGATAAATATCAATTTCTTGTTTTGGTCGCCGTTGACCTAAATTAAATAGTGGCCAAAAAGTCGTCTTTTACTACGCGTTTTTCTCTGTCCTTATATGGTTGAACTTAAACTATTAGCATAGAGACACTATAAGAGTATGGAATCAAGAGGTTTAGCAACCTAACAAAGTGAATAAGAGAGATGACAAAGAAGTGTCCTTTGAATATGAGACTTGTGTTCTTGCTTCTATTGGTTCTTTTGCTCTCATGCTATCATGACTGTGCTCTAGCGTCTTCACAAGAGTTACGCCCATCATCAGGTTAGTCTTGAGACATATATCCGAATGATTTTTTTTTAAATCGAGTACAATTTTTATTAACATTTTTAGCAAAAGTTCATAAAAAAAGGGTGCAAATATGATCATCCCGAAATAACATTAATTGTTGTAGTATATTGTGCTAGTTTTAGGAAATTATTTCTCCAAAAATTGTATGTCCATTTTCATAATCTAAGTTTTCGTTAAGTTCAATTTCTGTATTCTTTTTTTTGGTTTATTAAAAATAAAAACCAATTATAGACCTAAACCCTTTTGATTAGATTAGTTGGATATCATTTCAATTTTGGTTTTGGTAGTTTTTAGTAACATTAAAAAATAAAAAGGATTTTAGACAGTTTGTTTCTATTGTTTTAGTTTGATTTCAGTTCGCATTTGTTTGTAGCGGAAAAAAATCAATAAAACTGGTATATTTCTTCTTTGGCTTAACTTATCAGTATAGTTTCAGACCCTTTAAATGGATTAGACACAGTTTTATAGATTTGATTACACATTTCTTATAAGAAAAATTAATTCTTAGATTTTTATTTAAAAAATAAAAAGATGGAGAAGAATGATGAGGCGGGTAAATTCATCGAAGAGTGGACATGGTTTAGGTGGAGGAGGTGCAGGAGATGGACATGGTGTCTATCATTTGCCATTACCCTCCCCTCCACCACCATTATTACCACCATCAAGGCTGCCTTCGCCATCAATACCGCCACCACCAGAGGCACTATCGCTACCATAAACTGAAGAGATACAAGCTTCAAAAAAAAAAAGTTTGTCATAAAGAATCATCATCGTCGTCAACCCATCAAAGATTGTGAAATTTTTTCTTTTTCAGCCGACGAGATCTAATGCAACTTAAGAGTAGAATTCATATACAATATATGATTCATTATAAATAAAGTGTTTAAATTTATGATTTATTTATAAAACCAAAAAAAAAAAAAAAAAAAATTATGATTTATCCAACATTTGATTTGATTTGAAATAAGGAAAGAGCTTTCTCCTCAACTCCTTCTTTTGGATATTGTTTTTGAATGTAGCTTTCTCTAGGTGTTTCCAAAATATAGTTATAAATAAGGTATTTAGCCTTTTATATATTTTGTTTGGTCTTTATTGATTTATAATACAAATTTGCATATTGATTCGTTATCTTTTTTTTTCTTTTGTTTATTTACTAGAAGTCAAACTATCTTCTAAAAGAAGTTGTTTCTACGAAACCCATCATACAAGCCACTGGACCCACTAAGCCTTACCAAATACCCCACATTATAGTAAACAAGCCTTTTCAACATAAATTCCAGAAAGTAGCTATTAATATTGCCTTATCTTGATGGCTATATAATAGAAACATTTGGGGGAGGGGAAGAGTATCTCAAACAACAAGAATAAACAAGAAAGAGAGAAAAAATAGAGAGGGAGAGAAAAAGAAAGACAAAATTTTCATTTATTTTTGGGTTCTCAAATTTTGGGTTTCTATAGTTTAATCATTCAACATTTTGGGTTTTTGTGTGGACAAAATTTTTCTTTTCTTTTCGGGAAGATGTTGTGAAGGAATAAATCTTGTTGCCCTTGGTCTGTGATTTATTTTTCTTAGTGTTTGGGATTTTCACATACCTTTTTTGGTGTATATTATTTTTTTCATTTATAAGTAGCTGCAAGTTAACGTATAATTCTGTAAACCAATCTAACACTTTCTAATATGGCTGTTGACAAAAAAAAAAAAAAATCTAACACTTCGCATAGTGACATTTATAGATAATTAAGAGTACTAGAGCAAAGGATTTAGCAAGGTAACAAAAAAAAATTATGGTAAAGAATGGTCTGTTGAACTCGGGAATTGTCTTCTTGTTTCTAGTAATTTTGGTTCCATGCTCTTTCGACTGTGCTCTGGCTTCTCCCCAGGAGTTACTCCCAGCAACAGGTACGTTCTTGCTAACATAAATCCTGATGATTTTAATAAAAGAAAAACATATATGTGCATGTTGGTCCTCCAAAAAATTCTATGATTTTCTTAAGGAACCTATGCTATGTTTAGCAATTATTAGTTAACGATCTTACTAATATATATATGTATCAAAAATATGAGTAGCTTGGTTATAGAGTACCAGCAAAAAAATTAAAGGTGTATAATTTAACTTTCAGCTCGGTTTTAAGAGTTTTTTTTATGGTTCATGATATCGAAATAGAATGGAAACCGAAAAGCACTCTTTTTTTCTCTTACAATCTTTGTTTCTGGGTTTAGAGCAACATATAAATTATTTGAAAGAATTTATAAAAACTAATGCAAGGTTAAGATTACAATATTTTCGGTTACTTTATATTGTTTTGTTTCAGTTTGCCTTAGACCAATTAATTTGGATTCATTTTGCTAGATTTGATAACCTTTACGTTGTCGTATGGTAACCTTAGTCTTAATTAATTAGCAACACGTTTAGTGTTCTAGTAGATACAGTAATGAATTGTTTTTGCATAAAGGCTTTCTATTAAGTAATGAACTGTGCTCTCAAAAAAGAAGAAGTAATGAACTGTTGAAAAAGATATATAATTTTGTAAATCTCTAATTTTAAATATAAATAGGCTTGAGAAGGAAGTTGATTCCAATGCGGTCATCAGTCAGTCGACGAACTGGGTCTCTAGGAGCTCCACCACCACCGTCGGCAATTTCTATGAAACGTAATAAATATTTTTAATGCCGGTTAGATGATGTTGTAATATTTTGTTCGTTGTTTTGTTGAAACGTGTTGTAATATTTTTCATCTAATATAACTGATGGAGTGAAAGCTAATAAGTACCTATATGATTGCATTATTAATAACAAGTATGGATTCTAAAACTATTAGTAAATATATATTTATTATAGTCAAAAAGGTAATGTGTATTTATTTTTAGAATAAAAGATAAATAATTTAAGAAGCTAAAACAATATGAAAATAGAACTGCGCAACATCAAAGAAGAAAAGCAGACGAGTTATATTTTTGTATTATTTATTCATTCACATAGTGTACTCGGTAAGTTTTTAATATATATAATTTTATTACTTGTAGTTATATATAAATATCTACTAAGAGTGGCTTGAATTTTTTGGGCATGATTTCAATTCAATTTGGATCGATTGAACTGAATAGGCACTAGCTAGATATGATAAATTAGTAAAAGTTTAGTAAACAGAAGTAAAGAACTGTTGAAAAAGACATATATAATTTTTCTATTTCCCTCTTACTCAAAAGGAATTAGAGGCATTTATTCAACTGTTTAGTCTGTTCGTTTCGTCGCCGCAGGCGGCAGCGGCAGCGGCGGCGGCAACATTACCGCATGTTGTTGTTCGTTTCGTCGCTGCAGGCGGCTGCGGCAGCGGCAGACGCAACTTTTAATCGTTTGACGCTGATTTTAATTAGCGTTCAAAATTTTTAGCCGCAGAACGCAGCGGTTGCCGCAGCGTTATGCCGCAAGTACCTGCGGCGACCAAACGAACAACCTCACTTGCGTCTGCCGCTGCCGCATGTACCTGCGGCGACCAAACGAACAGACATACAATAAAAACATATATACTTTACTTTGCCTTTCTCATTTCATCTTGGAACATTGTAGTTCTTCATATTAGTAAATAATATGTAAATCATAAGAATCATAACCTCAAACATATGTTTTCAACAAATTAAGCAAAAATTTTAGAAGTTTTCAGGAGTATAATCTTAATAATTGAACGTTCAAAAATATCAAAAATATATTTTCTAAAACAAAAAAAAATGACTAGAGGCTTTTTGTTTTGTTAAAGGATATCATGACTAGAAGTTGTAGTCCCGCAGTTTTTACTAGTGTGTAGCGTATTTATGTTATTCTAGATATACGTCTGATTGTGTGTATACGTACGTGTTATAGACGCCAAAAAAAAAAAAACTAAATAACAATTTATAAAAAAGAAATATGATATATAACATACAACATGGTTTTTATATAACAAAATACTTATAAAAACTCTCTTGACCTCTTATCCTTCACTTCTGGTGATGACTTTGGGTTATGGGCCTTTATCTTTAGGCGATTTAGAGGGAAACGAAGCGATAGGAGGTTTGACGATGCGACGGAGAGGGGGAGGGGGAGGAGGAAGAGGAACACAATCCAAACGCAATTCGTTCCTTTCTAACAATATGTATGCACCAAAAATTGTATGATTAGTTTCTTCAAACAATAAATATGAATAAAACTACAACAGAAAAATATGTATAGAGTAAACAAGGTAAATAGGTAATTATGAAAAAAATATTACGTATTTAGGTAAATGATAATTGCTAGAGAGAGCTGCTATTAGAAAGGAAAAAAAAAAGAGACACAAATATTTGCTACAGTGTCCTACATTATTTTTTGAAAATAAAAAAAATATATTCATTTGGTAGATAGTCTCGAACATTGATATAATACTATTTTAACACTTTCAATACCAATATAATAGATCAAACACTTGTATAAAAGATAAACAATTATATTCGATAAATTAGATGTCCATACAAAAAATAGTGTGATACCATGGAAAAGAATCAAACCTTCTGCAACTTTAGATGATAAGAATTAAACCAAATAAAAACTCCAAGCCAGATGTCCACGAATAAAACTAAGCAATCGTATGCATGAACTTGTTATTTTCTTAAATATCACTATTTTATAACGCTATTACTATATATGGATGTGGGGAGCTCGTATTTAAACCTCAATACATAAGCACAAGAAAACTGACTGACTACAAAAGTAAGAGAAGTAGTGTTAAATACTTACGTTGGAGACGTTTGGCCTGGGCAAGTCTTACTTGAGATAAGGTAAATAAGAGCAGAATAAACAAAGACAGAAGAAGAGGAACTAAATTTGATGTCTTTGTAGCCATTAGTTAAGTGCTCGACTCTCTCAAAACTCCATTACAAGACATATATATAGACAAGAAAATGAAGCATAGTTAGATAGGGTTATTAGAGCATGATTATAGGTAGTCTCTTAGAAATATCTCTTAGCAATATTTAAGTAATTTTTTTGTAAAAAGTGATTGTTAAGAGATAGTATTTTTGAGTTAAGATTTTTGTGTGATTAATGGTAGGCTCTTAACATGTGGTTCTTAGGAAAAAAAATATTAATATAAAAATAAAATTTATAATTATAGAAAATTTAATAATTGTTGCAAATTAAAAAAATTAAAACATACATGAAATACAATTTATAACATACATGACATAAATTTTTAACATATACGATGTATTGGAACATAGTAATTGGTGTTTGGTATATTTGGTGTAATTGGTGTTTGGAGAGTTCATAATCACATCAACAACTTCTCAAATGCAAAACAAAGATTCATAATCACAGTTTATGTAATTCACCAAATCCAATTACTATGAAGAATGTATGTAATTCAAAAACATAATCAAGACAGAAATATGGTGTCTTCTACTTGGCCTATACAAGACACAAATTTCGTGTTTTCTACAGCAAAAACACATTGAACACATTCTAGAAAGTCAAAGACATTACTTAATAAAATTTCATACGTTTAACATAAGCAAATGAATGGACTCAAACATTGCATGAGTTGGATCAAAGCACAACATCCCTTCGGAAACTGCTTCATCGAACTTCTCTAGCTCTCTTCTTAAAACAGAAGCTTGCTTATCAATATTATGTCTGAAGTTGTGCTCCGCAATGGCAAGATCACAAACATTTTTCTGCAAGGACAAGAGCATAAACACTATCAATTTTGTGTCCAAGAATAGGATAAAAAAACAAGATCTTTGTGTAGCTAAGAGTTACGAGGATCTGAAACAAAGATCCCCGAGAAAATCAATCAACCGAATATATGTGTAGCTAAGAACATGGTATCAAACAAACAAGAAGAATAGTTTAACTCACTTCCGTCAAAGTCCAAGTAATCAAACACTATCCACCAAGAAACCAACCTTAAGAATATCCACATTCAAAGACATCAACTTAAGATGTCTTAAAGAATCGAGTAACACCGAGTTTGGCTGCAAGAGAAGAACAAGAAACCATCAAAAAAAAAAAAATCTTCACATTGATGAAATTAACAAATTGCAAATTCAAGAACTTTAGATCAAACATCATCTTCTTTGTTGAGCAAGATCTCTTTGATACTAGCAACATCCTTAGAAACCACAGATAACTCTTCAATCTCATCACTCAAAGCGTGAGCTTCATCAAATGTATAAATTACTAACAATCTGATTACTATTCAAATTCGTCTCATCGATATATGATTATTATCTCCTCTGCTACTATTAGCTTTGCTCTCTTTACTACCACCAACCTCATAATCTTCATCAACCGCCGTACCACCACCGCCGTCACCGGTGGTTCCACGGCCGCGATTAGCCTCGTCGTCTCCGTGAATAGACAATTCAAGATGGTCGCATCCGATGCAACGACTCACTCTGCAGGAGAATAAAAGCTCGGCGATTTTGTCTCCTCTGGATTTGAATTTGTTAGGACAATCAGTAGCAGCCACCATGATCGCATGACCCACAGGCGCCGTGGAGAACCGCCGTCCGTTGAGATGCTTGTGATAACTCTCTCCGATTCACCGGATGTAACAATAATCGGAGGAGAAATCGATTTGCAAAAAATCAATTTGATTTCGTGTTTTCGCAGTCGGCAAAGAGAGAGAGAAACGAAGGAGATAAACGCGACACGTGTCCACCTCTTCACTTTGTTTTTGTTCCTTGGTAGACTTAAAGCACATTCCAGATTAAATTATATTGAATTTAATCTTAAGAAAAGCCTAAGATTTCTTTAAGAACCCTCCTATAATCATGCTCTTATACATGTCGTACTGGGCCTACTGGCTGACGCGCAATGCCATTCAACGCGCTTTCAGTTTATGAAGCAGCTAAAAGTCTTTCCAAAACAAAAGTTATATGTACATTCAATTGATGTAGATAATTATTATAAATATATATATATATCAAAACTATAATTTCATAATAAATAACTCATATTTTAAAGTTAAATTATTAAATAAATATAATCTATACTGTACTATACGGAAAAACGGTCTATTTCCCCCCTAGAACTATCGTATCTGGCCAGATAAAGCCCAATCTTTGACCTCTGTCTATATACCCATGAAACGGAAGTTAAATGTTTATTTCCCCACCAATTGAAAGTTCGAGAGCTTAATGTCCACGAATCCTAAGTTCGAGATTTAAAACCCCATAGCGCTGGGTTTAATTAGTTTACTGTATACCAAACCGATCCTTTAACCAATTAAACCTAATTAGAACCAGCAATTTCAACTAATTAACCACAAATCCAACCCGACAAAACCCAACCGACCCAACTTCTTCTTCTTCACCAAATTTTTCCAGAGCTAATATCATCGCTGGAACATGCGACTCTAATGGCGCAGCAAATCGAAACCAATGTGGACAGAACCATCTCCTCCAAATCTCCTCCTCTCTCTGTATTGGCCACCAACGCCTCTCCGTCTTCCTAAACTCCATCCCATCGATCGGTGGGATAGAGTCGAGAAATCTCTCTCCTCCGGCGAGCCGATGCAATTAGGAGAGGAAGAGAATGGAGAGGCTGAGTTTCCAGAAGGAGCGACGGTACGATGATTTGGGTGTAACGATGGATTAGGTGACGGCGTGATTTGGGATTTGGAATTTTTAGTGGGGATGAAAGCGGCGGTGCGTGATTGTGACTGGAGAGGCGGAGAGGGAATTGGTTCTTTCATCGGCGCTGGTGAAGTTAGTGCCGTCGGAGATGGTGGTGGTAAACGTGATTGAGATTCTAGATTCGATCATCAATAGCATCGAATCAAATAAATGTCTGAGATCGAATCACATACTTCAAATTCGATCTTCTCTTCTTCTAACTGTTCTTACTTATTAGATGACTATAGCAGAGAAAAAGAGAAAAGAAAATTCCTAACTATGGCTTTGCAAAGTAGTAAACTTCATTTGTTTTTCTTCTTGAGAAAGATAGTCAATTTTATCCACATTTATTCAACTATTAAAGCTTCACCCAATACATTTATATTACCTCCGGTGGAGGCATCGTTGCCGTAAATTTCTTCTCTTTTTCTTCTTCTCCGGCAACATGATGCAAAATCGGATTTTGGGTTTGCTTGAAATAATTTATTCGGTTAAGTGTTGGTTTTAGATGGTTTAGTATCGGTTTAGATTATTAACCGGGTTTCGTCTCGGGTTTACGCACTAAACCGACGAAACCATGATTCATGGACATTAAGCTCTCGAACTTTCAATTGGTGGGGAAATAAAAATTTAACTTCCGTTTCATGGGTATATAGACAGAGGTCAAAGATCGGGCTTTATCTGGCCAGATACGATAGTTCTCGGGGGAAATAGACCGTTTTTCCGTACTATACTGGTTACGGAGAGTAAAAAGTTCACGAGTGGATGTGCCCTATGTGATTGTGTATGTAAAGTGATGATGTTGTAACCCTTTTTATGTCTTTCTGTTTTTTAAAATGGCTTTCTTAAAAAAACAAAAAAATACTTTGGTTTTTTATTTCATCTTGAAACATTTTAGTATATCAAATTTATAAATAATATTTAAATTATAACCTGAAACATATAATATGAGAATCCAAAAACTGGTGTTGAGATTGGTGGGAGTCATGGTTAAAAGTTGCATTAGTAATTATGTTGCATCCATGGAATGGGAGATTATGGTTGCATTAGTAAGAGATGTTCATTGCTTGTAGGTTGTAATTTTTATATCCTGGATTGTTGATTTATGATTATGTATGTTTAGTCGATATTAAATGCTCCCTCCATTTTAAATTACTTGTCATTTAAGGTTTTTTCACAAGAATTAAGAAAACAATTAAATTTTCTACTTTATCTTTGTTTATTATATTCTCTACTTTTTTTTATTAGTCAAGACATGAAAATAGTGAAGATAAAATTAGAATTTTATCTAACATATATGCATTAAAAATTTAAAACGACAACTATTATAAATTTTTTTAATGTTAAAATGACAACTAAATTAAAATGGAGGGGGTAATACTTTAAAATTTTGATCTATTTAATATTTTTACAATACTTCAAAAAATTGACCTAATTAAAATATTTATGATATTTCAAGTACTCTTAGCCTTAAAACCAAAAAATAAAGGATTGATTGTTAAAAAATTTGTGATTGTAAAGCCTCTCGAACCACAAGGAAAAGGAAAACAATCGCTCAAAGTATTGAGTATTATTTGTTAAAAATATCAATTTATATTCTTTGGGTCAAATACTTCTTTCTTTAACAATTTAAATAAGAGTCTCCTAAGGCGGAAGTTCAGCAAAGGAATATCAGGCTAAGAGCATCTCCAATGCATACCTCTATATTTTCCTCTATTTTAGAGGAACTCTATTTTAGAGGAGATTTTGCTCCAATGTATTCCTTTAAAATAGAGTTTCCTCTAAAATAGAGAAGAGAGACATTGGATTACTCTATATATAGAGGAAAATATAGGGGTGGACATTGGAGATGGTCTAACTGAAATGAAACAAAACGAAATAAAGTGTAACTACTCGGTTTCGGTCCATTGTCGTGAGTCGGGACAAAAACCATAGTGGAGAGGAAGAAGAGATAGACAGATTACGCATTTTTGTGTTTTAAGTAGAGAGGAAAGATGAGTAAGGGCCCATACATAACGAAACTAGGGATTTCTATATACTATTTTGGTGCCTCCTAGAGTGAGAAGAAGTGAGGAGGTCGTAGTAGAAAGGAGAAGAAGAGAGAACATAACATTAGAGAGTAAGCTAGATCAGGAGCCGCCAGTAGAAGGAGGAGGCAGATTTGATTAGTCTCGGTGGAGGATTACTGATTTGGAGCTCAGATTCATGGCCGTAGACATATATCAATTAGGGTTTTAATAAGGGTTATCTCATAGTATAAATATCAGCCATTCTCGGCAAAGTGAAATACGACCGGGAAAACATTTCACAAAGTCTTGACAAAAAGTGATACTGTTTTTCGTTGTCAAGTAGCTAAGGTGAGGATGCATGTAATTTGTGGATTCACCGTGTTTTTTAAACTCTAGAGAATAGCTTGAGTGATGATGTTCTGAATATAGTAAGATAAAATGATGATATGTTGATACAATGATGTGATGTTAGTATAGTCTGTGAACATGGTTAGGAAAAAACATCTTGCAGCTCATTAACAGCTGACGATGATGTGTATATATGACTATGATTATGATGTATGATGATGATGAGATGTGATGAAAGTATGATAATATATGCATGTAGTGATGATGAATGTAAGCAGATTAAATGATGCCAGAATGATCGATAGTTTGAATGTATGCATGTAATTGTGTGTATTTATACTATGTGTGATGGTAAGTTTTGTTGTATGTTGTGAATCATGTGGACTAATTGTGAAACATGTGTACAAGTAATTAAAGATTGTTGGTGTAAATTATTTATATGGGGTCGGGGTAAGCTAGATATATATGAACAATTATGATTTTTTGTAAAACACAAAGAGTTTATAAATTTTCCCCAAACGGAATTCCGCTGATAAAGATTTGAGAGTCTGATTCTCTGCGTATAGTGAAGCTGTATGCTAGAGCTGAGAATAGAGTTTCTGGCATTGTCAAAGCATTTCCTATAAGCATTGAGGCAACTCCTACATATAAGCGATGATTGATGGGTCAAGTGTACGTGCTACATTGTCTTCTTCTTGCGGCACATACCAGATAAGATGCATAGAGTGAGATGGTACGACGATTTTGGGTTTGTTGTCCAAATCCTCGAAGAACAAAACAAAGCGTACCATTCAGTAGTGCATTGGTCGAATTCCCAAGACTCTTGCCAAAAACATTCCAATAAACTTCGCTCAAAGAAAGGTTTGACTTACAAAAAAACTGATCACATGATATTAATTTCCGACAAAATATCTTCGAAATTTGTGTGTAATTAAAGTCCGAACTCCGAAAGAATCTTGATAAAAAAAAAGTCCAATAATTATACACCTCTGGAAAGTTTAAGGAAAGAGTCAAACTTGGAATCGTCGTTAAACTTATGGTCAACTTAATTATCTATCTTTTTTACTAGACTACACATCTTATGGTCAACAATGACACTAACACAACAATGACACTAACACAACATATTACTAGACTACACATCTTATGGTCAACTTAATTATCTATCTTTTTTATTTTGTAATATTTTTGTTAAAATTTTAGTTTACAAGTTTTGCTTAAAGTTTTGTAATAGATTTATTATAAAAGTCTTAAATATTAAAATAAATTTTTTTATTATATTTATGATAAATTATTTAAATATTAAACTATGTTTTTTGCCTACGACCTTAAAAACTCTTGGCACAGCTCTGAGAACAAAGTAAGAAATATAAGAGAAAGAACGAGACATAAGAAGATGGGAACGAAGTGTTCGTCACAATTACGTTACGTGGTCGTTTTGGTTCAGCTGCTTTTCGTCTTCCCTTGCCTCACCCAATCGGCTCCTTTCTCAGTTACCGGTTAGTGTTTCTATTAGAGTGTATATAGCTGGTTTAGTTATGGTTTAGTTTGGTTAGTATCTTTGGTTAGTTTACCTTGTATTTAAGCTTTCTCTTGCACACATTTTATCGTTGAATGAAGATATTTTACAATTGTGTTTCTCTCTTAAAGCAATTTATATACTTTTCAAAAGAAATTATAGTTATAAAGGTAAAATCGTTGCAGCAGATGAATATGTTGCTACGTTAATTAACGTACCTTGTCCATTAATTGAATTCAATCACATATATCCTTAATTAAAAAAAAATAATAATAATATATATGACATTGTAGGCAGGAGATTGATGGGCATATATATGCCGAATGGGGCAATAATCGCAGGATCTTCAAAATGTGGACAAGCACCAAATATAAATATTAATTGTTTACCACGGTAAAAATCTAATTGTTTTCTATGCAAAATTGTCAATTTTTCGAATATTTCAAAATTTTCTAACCCTATTACATATTCGCTTATATGACATTTTGCAACCTTTGTACATCAACTGGATAAATTTATATATTAATAATAAAATATATAATTATGAGATGTAGGGAGGAGATTGATGCGCATAGAAGCAAGACCTTCAAAAAGCAAAAAGGATGGTGGTGGTCGTGGCCCTGAAAGTCCAGACCAAAATCAATGCTAGTTCTTGGAAGCAAAGAAAAGTCAACTATACAATTGTACTAGAAAGACTCGAACCATGTTCTCCTAGTCCCAGTGTGAATCCTTCGACGATACCATAAATCAGTTGCGTAACTAGATCCTAGTCTTAGTATCTCTGGTGTTTAATAAGGTTTTCTAAACATAATGTATCTGTATTTTCCAGTTGAAACCATTCTTATTTAAATATATATAACGTCGATATTTAATTTGGTAAAAAAATTTTATTTGGATGTTGATATAGTAATATTTATAGAAGAAATATGTGAATATGTTTGTCCACATATATATGCAATGACTGATAATTAGCAGTCGTCGGCACTAGCTAGACTACATTTTGTTTTTCTTGTTTTAATGTAATTAACTAAAATTCAAGGATTGCAGCCTAAAAAGTCCAACAAGTTTGAAACTCAAATGAATAAGATGGTTTGACGTAGATAACTCTAAATTTTAATATTGCAAAATAGTTATGCATATGTAAATAAGCGATTGTAAACTCAGACCTTACCTGCAAAGGTCCAGCTACTATAAGACTGTCTTCACCATTTTCTTTCTTTTTTAATTAGTTTGATATGAGCTTGACAGTTCTTCTTACTCACTTTCTTTGACCTCTTATTCGTCACTTCTGGAGACGAGTTTGGCTTATGGGCCTTTTCCTCTAGGTGATTTAGAGGGCGGCATATAGGATTTGGGAGGTTGAGGGCGAGGGGGAGGAGGAGGAAGAGGAAGAGGAACGTAATCCAAGCGAAATTCGCTCCCTTCTAACAATAAATGTGATTACAAGTACAATGTATCAATATTTCATGAGATCGCCAGATATGTGAGTGTAAAGATGATATTAAATAATGTTAGGGAGATTTACTCAGATGTTATACATTTTATATGAAATTACCAGAAACATACAGATCTTTTTTTTTATTACTATCATATTTCGGGTATATTTTTTATACCCAGCGTGCCCCTGTTAAACGTTACAGGAAAAAACGTAATTACAAAGAATGCCACTGCCACGTCAGCAAACCCGCGTCGCCACGTCAGAAATCGCTGACGTGTATTAATGAACTCAGCCGTCGAGCGATATAGCGGCAGTGACGGCTGAGTTACGGTATATTGCGGCTGATTTAAGAAAAATGGCTGAATTATGAGCAAACGGCTGACTTACGAGTATAACCCAGCCTGGAGTTACGGCTGACTTACTGAAATCTGTCTGAGTTATGATAAAATGGCTGACTTTCGAGCATAACCCAGCTGTGGAAGTCGAAACTAACACAATCAAGATTTGTCTAGGGTTTTATTTTAGGGATACGATAATCGTGAATTCTCAAAGAACAACAGAAACGATTGATACCAAAGATGGTGTTCTTGATATTATTAATGAAAAGATGATTTTGATCGTACAAGAGTTTGATCGTAGAAGAAAAGGTGTTTGTGCTGTGAGAGCTTTGCGTAGTGTAAATTCTAGAGCGATATTGCTTGCGCCTTTCGTTTGAGCCTTGAATCTCTTTATATAGGGATGATAAACCGCCTCTCCAGCGATATTCTAGGAAGATTTCCATTTATCTTGAAGTCGGCCAGAATATCGCGGATTAGGACAATTTCCTTATTCTTCGGAGTTTTCGGAAGATTTCCTGATTTGAGTTGATCCTTCGCGATTCTTCCTTATCATTTCCGAGTTTATCGGAAATGATCCTTCTTTTTCGGAAATGATAACTTGCTTGGAAATGATACCTTTGGAGAAGAATATTTACTAAGTCTTTGCTTCGGGCGATGATGAAGACTTCGCCTCGGGGAACTTGTGCAACCGGCTCGGGGACAAGAGAGGCACGGCCCAGGTTCCCGAGGGAAACCGGCTCGGGTTCACAGAAAGAGCCAGCTCGGGGGTCTCGACACGAACCGGCTCGGTTTCTCGGAGTGAACCGGCTCGGGCACTTGAAGGGAGCCGGCTCGGGTTCACAAGCTTGCTGACGGACCCCGAGCAGACTACGGGTGTTCCCCGAGGCAACCAATGCAGTGATCCGAGGTGAATGGCAGTCTGACCCGAGGTGAATGGCAGTATGACCCGAGGTGAATGGCAGTTTGACCCGAGGTGAATGGCAGTTTGCACCGAGGTGTCTTCAGAAGTTCCCTAAGGCGTTCGAAGTTCGGCTTGGTGCTATGGGATGAAATCCGACCCCAACAGTTAGCCCCCCAGCTCGTTGGTTCGAAGAGCAACCGATGAGCTTCACGACTGTTAGTCCGAGCCGTTTTAACTTTGTTCCGAGCCCATCCTTGTATGCCGTGAAATTTTCAATGCTTCAAAGATGGTTAGTGTCCTTCGGTGATTCTGATTCTTGACGATTCAAATCTCTTTGACGCTTCATCTTCTTCTAGCGCGTGTGACGGTTGAGATTCTACCTCGAGAAGTGGAAGAGTCCTCTGCTGATTCCCGAGAACCGTGCGGATGCGAAGTATCTTAATATTGGTCACGCGCACCCGACGCGCCCGAGACTTGGGCGGATGCGAAACATTATTAAACTCGTGTGTACCCGACGCACCGAAGCATTCTATAAATATCCGACTCCTGCTTCATTTTCTCATTTCGCAATCTGCAAGGAAAATTTCTAAGGTTCGCTTCTTTTCTCTCTGATCTTGATCTCTTTAATTTCCTCTGCTTTGCTTTATTTTCCGTCGTTCCTCCGCCGTGCCAGATCTTAGATTTGGTTTTTTCCGATTTCAAACTTTGCTTTTCCGATTCTTTTTGATTCACCCGAGCCGACGATGTCACTCTCGGATTCAAGTGATTCATCCCGAGGCAGAAGAATTCCCGTTCATGAAAGGAAGATGGTTTGGAGCAGTCCCTCGGAAGGAGCCGAGGCTGGTTTTTCAAATTGCTCCGAGCGAAACGGCGATAGTGAAACAAGATCGTCATCCGTGGACCAAGATCCGAGCCAATTTGTGGCTCGGGAAGATACAGTTGCGAATGTGGCTCGGGATGAGGATCTTCCCGATGACCCCGAGGCAGCTTTAAATACGGGAAGAACGCATCCTCCGTCTAAGGACGAAGCTGGGGGCTCTTGTTGGCAGAAAGCGCCCGAGCCGTCTTTGCTCCCTGTAAAGGCCGAGGCAGTTCATTACGACTCCGACGCAGAGGCGAGAATGCTTCAGGCCAGGATGCAAGCGGCTAAGGCTCTGCAGCAGAAGACGAAGCGAGCCAGAAAAGTAAGAAGGCCCGACCCCCCTGGTTCCACGCTATCCACCGAGGACTCCCTCAGAGAATTGAGAATTCGGTTCGGTTTCAGTGAAGGAGTCACGATGAGGCTTCCGACCCCGAGTGAACGAGCCGATAATCCTCCCGAGGGGTTCTTCACGTTGTACGAGGGGTTTTTCAGTTTTTGTTTCCTGTGGTTCCCTCTCCCGAGGCTGATCGTTGAGTATTTGGGGTCGTACAAGATTGCGTTGGCTCAGATCTCAACTCGTGGATTGCGGCATCTTATCGGGATTTTAGTAAGGAGTTTCGAGGCAGATAAAGTTTTGTCCCTCGGGCATTTAAGGAGTTTCCTGGAGGTTCGTCGTAGCCCGGGTCCTCTGGAAAGATACTACATCTCGCCGAGCAAAAATAAAAAGATCATCGGCGGGTTCCCGAGCAAGGATGAGAAATACACCGATCATTTCTTCTTCGTCGCGATTGACGAGGACTCCGTCCCCGAGGGATGCCTTGATAAAATTGTCGCGAAATGGGGCAAAATTGGTAGTTTACCCGAAGCGTTTGAGCTCTTCTTTCTGTCGTGATTTGATCGATTTATTCTAACCAGTTTTGTTTTCGTTTTCAGATCGTACCCCGGCGTTCCTCGAGCTTATCCCCGAAGATCTTTTAGAAATTCACGAGGAGTTGGCTTCCCGGAAGTGTAACTGGACCAAACACTTCACGCTCAAAAGAGTTGAGAAGGCGCTGAGATTGCTCCGAGGCGTGTCCTGTTCATCATCGTCATCTTCTTCGGATTACCGACTAAGCGGCTACATGGAAATGCAGAAGGCGAAGATGACGTTAAGGGAGAGAAAGGCTGCCGAGAGGGAAGCGGCCGAGCAGAAAAGAGCTCTTGAGGCGGCCATCAAACCTTCGACTGAGGGGTCTAGAAGGCCCGAGGCATCCGATCTTCCCGAGGCATCTGGCGGGCCCGAAGTGGTTAAGGGCCCCGAAGGATCCGGGGTTGATTTAGCGGTTGCTTCGGCTCCTCCCGAAGCGGTCGACGATGTCCCAACTGGGGATAGTGGAGTTCAAGCTCCCGAGGTCGAACACACCGAGGTTGTGGTCGGCTTGGCTGCTGGTAGACAGGCCGAGTCCAAGGGAAAACATCCTCGGGGCGACCACTCTACCGATAGGAGGAAGAGGTCGAAGAGCGATCACGGCAGCTCCCGACCGATTTACAAGGACAAGGTGGCTTCGGCCAACCTTGTTGCTTCGTGTGCATGGCCGTTGTTGACGGCCCCTGAGAATCTGGCCGAGGCGGAGAGATACGCCGAGACTTCGGCCAACTTTCTGAAGGTAATGATTTTTGGTTGAACCTCGTTTCGAAGTTCTTTTCCGTTCCTAACATGTCATTTTATCCCCAGGCTTTCTCCTCGATGAACACGCTGGTTCGTTCTTACAAATCAATGAACCGTCAGCACGAAGCTGCCAACGAGCAGTTTGAGATAGCCCGTGCGGAGTCGGAGAGGAGAATAGCCGAGGCGACTATGGCGAAAGAGAACGCGGAGGCCCTTGTCGCAGCCGAGCAAGAGGCGAGGCGGAAAGAGGCCGAGGAGAATGCCCGAATTCGGCAAAAAACTGAAGCAGAGGTTGAGCGCCTCAACTGCCTGCTCGCCGAGGAGAAGTCTCTACGGGAGGTCGAGGTAGCCCGAGCCAGGAAGGCTGCAAAAAGGGCGGTCACTGAAGAGTTCGCCAAGCAGATCAAGACGATCGAGGCGAAACTGGAACAGTTTGACCAAGTTGCCGACCGCTACATGTACTTCTCTCAGGCCAAAGCAAACGCCGAGCTGATTGCCGAGCTCGAAGGGGGCAAGTCGATCGAGGACGAGAAGAAAGAGGTAGAGGCGTGGAAAGAAGAGTTCGGGGACGCCGAAGCGGAGTATTCTCAGCTTGCGGTTGAACTGCTCGGAACTTTGAAGGTCCCTCCGGTGTCACCCGACTCTGCTCATGATAGCCTCGGAAATAGGTCGGTGGAAGGCAACGCGACCGAAATCGGAGTTATCGATCAAGCCGGAATGTTCCTGGATCCTGCGGCGACACATGCCGAGGAGCAAGACGAATGAGCCCGAGGCGTCTCTAAAACTCCTTATTCTTTTTTTTTTTTATTTCTTTTGTAAAACTTATGCCTGGACGGCTTTATCCATCTGAATGCATGTTTCTTGAATCCGATACCAGTGTTGAGTAACTGGGTTTATGACATGCCCGTCGAGAAGTTATTTCTTCCCAATAGTATTAACTTCCGAGCCGAAAACGAAAAGAATCGTGCGCCAGTGTCAATTCAAACGTTTTAACCTCCGAACTGAATTATACACCGATGTCAACGTAATTGGGTTTTGGTAAGAATGAGTTTTGGTTCAGTAGAAGTTAACTTTCGGAATAGCGAACCAGTGTTAAGATAACTGGGTTTTTGTAAGTGAGACCACAAAAAGTTAATTTCTCCCGAACCGTTTCAACTTCCGAACTGAAAGTGAAAAGGATCGTTTACCAGTGTTAAAGTAACTGGGTTTTGGTTATATGAGACTAATCTTTATC